AATTGAATATAAAAAATAGATAGCCATTAGAAAAACAATAAAAATAAATTGCTTAAGCTTGAGCTTATTTAAACAATTATAATTTACTCGCTTTATTCCTTAATAAGACTTAATGACATTTTTCATGATAACTATAATGATTTATCTTTATTTGCTCTCAGAAGTAGTTACATTTTTAAAAATATAGGTTAATGATGATTACGTCTTGGAAAATAGAAGAGCGGTACCTCGATATCTCAGCGTCTGTCTTCGGGGGGAAATTTTGGTCGGCATGGTTCCGACAGTCATATAGAGTTATCTAGTATGCACATATTAGGCGGAACATGCATGCAGGAGCGAACTGCCTGTTCGGCGGTCGTACCGATCCCGAAATTCTGTTCTCCAGAGAATCGTAACTTGCAAAATAAAACTCCTCGGTGAAATACGCGTTCGAGAATCCTTTAAACTTCCGCCTCGTTCGTCGCGTCTTGAATTCTTCGAGGTACGAAGGAGTGACCTCGTTATTTTACTTCTAAAGATTAAACTGACATTATTTTAATTCGTTAAGTGAAATTATTACAGAAATGTTACACGCGAAAAGTTAAACGGGTTAAGCAATCTTAGCTAAAATGGGAAAAAAAGAGATCCCGCATGGTGCAGAGGCAGGAAATCGAGTCCGATTCGTCGTCAAGGTAAATCGATATTTTAGCGGGCACCGTATCTGTTCGCGTGCCAATTCGTCGTAAAGGTCTTCGTTGAGTTTCAGATAAACTCGACAGTATTGCTATCTTCGAATCACCGGAAAAATATTTTTCTCCATATGGTTGAAGCGCAGGTATTCTCGTTGCTATATCGATGTTGTGTCGAATAACGTGTTATCTACAAACAGTTATAACAATGTAAGATATAAAGTTATGCTGTTTTTTTTTCAGCATAGAACTTTTATGATATAGCCTGTCGAGTCTTATCTTTCTTAGGACCTAGTTGCAAAATATAAAATGCGAAAAGTTTATATTTTTATCAAGTTATGTGTTAAGTTTAAAAACAATTAAAAAATATACTGATACATATAGCGGTAATTTTGCTTTTATTTTCAACTTTATTTACGACAGACCCTTCGCGCCAACTTAATGTTTCATTGTAAGAACAAATATTGTACAGCAGGTTTCTGTATATTTCTTGTTTTTCTTGTTTACTACGCAGGAAGCGTCCATAAAAGTAACTTGTAAAGTACGGCGGTCTTTATCAGTCTAAAAAAATTCTCCCTGTAAACTCGTGCACATTCTGAGCATGTTTATCATCCTGTCGTGACCCAACCCATTCCATGTCATGGAACCAAGTGTCTATGGGAACACCTCGAGCATCTTATAACGATTAATCTTCTCAAGTTCTCGAACAATAATGAGAGTGTAACGGGAGTCTAAAGAGAGAGTAATGGCATTGCTAATCGCGAGTAAGATCGCCGTCCCGTTGAGACTGAGCGTCGCCATCAAAAGAAACTATCTCTTTCAATGTTATATATAAGCTATAATTAAAAATAGTAGGTATTATTTTTAAAGTTAGTATTTTTAGCAGAAATCTTTAGACTGTAATGTAATAGAAAGATACACTTTGCATAATATTAAGCTATTGTTTTTTATTTCTCACGGAAAATTCTCATGCGACTCAGAAAGTGTTTCCCTGTATCTCAAATCCTGTGTTTCACTTCATTTCAGTCGTTAGTTACCTGAAGACAGTTTCTTGCAAAAAGAGGAAAATTCTTAATTAATAATTGTCCTATCTGTTCGTGTCTCAGAACAGCGGAATCCACTTAATGCTTTACAGCTTAGCATATTAATTCTGCATTAATTTAAGATAACTTTTAATAAAATATGTAAAAATTGAACGTTAAATAAAATGGTTGTTATTTGTAACAATTGGTAACGATAACATATTAACAACTTTCAGAAAAAAAGCTAAAATAATATTTACTGTCTATTTTGGTGTATTGTAGTTAAAATAATATTAATAAGATTAATTAATCTTTAAATGATTAATTGTTGAACTTTTTGCGATAAAAAGAGAAAAATCTGTTCTACACAGCATCGAGATAGAGATTGCAAAAGCAGAAGAAAACGTGCATCAGAACAGGGAAGCTTATTCAGAATCCATTCAGTTCAGAAAGTTAATTAATTACCGCATGAAACTTTATGAATACCTAATGTTTGAAAAAGTTAGCGCACTATGTTCGCAATAAGCAAGTCACAAGTGATGCAACAAAGCTTTCCGCTGTGACACTAAATTACACCTGCTGCACAATAACAATTCCTATTTTAAGATATCGATACCCGGAGGGAAAAGTAACATCCCTGCTTGATATTCCCATTTAATCAGGTGCACGTCTTTCGGTTCGATTTTCGATACGCCGATTAAGAGACACGCACGAACAATGTACACGCCTTCAAGTGGGTGAACGTATGCAGACCAGAAAGTATAATTCGAAAGAAAAAAGAGGGTAGCCGACGATGGTGGCGACGAAGGTAGCTGTGGGAGGTTCTGCACGTGAGAGCATTGGCGGCGTGCCATAGAAACGGACTGACCCACTTTTAACGCGTAGATTGACCCGCCTGGCGCCATTTTAACTTCGAGCCGTCGAATAGTCGCCACCCTTGATCCCCAGTCTTTCCAGGTCGCCGCGCGAACGAATTGTTTAATCCTAAGAGAGGCCTGACATTTTCTGATAATTTTCAGTACGGTGCAATTAAGGAGAAAAAAGGTTGTGTATATAAATTATCAGTTTGAAAGTTCTCTCTAAAATTCTCACTCTTCGAGTTCGGTATATGCTTCGCGTTTTTAATTATAAAAGATATATTAATTCGCAGCCCTCATTTGATTCAATGCTATATAGGCACGATAAAGTCTTTAAGTTGCGACTATTGTAGTGGATAAAATTACCTCGGGAGAAACAGATTAATTTGTTTATTCGATTAAGAAAGGGTGAATCTGTATATTGCAGATAAAAGAAATACGAAAGAAAATCAATCTAAATCTGTGTAATTGAAGTTGTTACTGTGCACTAATCAAATTTCCGCGGTTGGCCAATCCGCGTGTAAACTTTCCAGAAGGTGCAGTCCGTGCTTGCAGTTCTATGCAATTTCCATGATCAATGAAATGGATATAAATATCGTGCACAACATTGTATCCCGAAAGCTTTACTATACTACTATTAAAATTCAAAAATAATCCAGATTGAGCAAGATAAAAATTGAAAATTTTTATGTACATATATCTGCAAACTACACGGAGAGAATTTTCTCTTAAAAGTTACACTGAAATCATGATAGTTGTGGGACAACATGTACCACCAAGAATTTTATGCGAGCTATTCTGATTAATATCTACCATAATAAAAAATATTCATATCTATTACATTAAAATATAAAATATGTTTAATTAATTTTACTAAAGTATATCTGGGAAATTTCAATAATTTTTCAAAATTTAGCAATTTGCTTGGTTTTATCATGTTGTTTGTAAAATGTCTTTTGTATATTAAAAAATTTCTTGATTGCCAAGTTGTCCCAAGTTTGTAGTAAATTTAAGGGTAAAATATAACAAAAAATTCTCCGTGTATAATTATTTTTTAGCGAACGAGCAGTTTGTATTATATATACCTATATTGAAGCGATTAAAGATTAAATAACGAGTTTTATAATTAGTAGCTCGAATTAATATTTAATTTATAACGCTTATTTCTATTTATATACCGTTTTACCACGATATTTAGCGATTGCATTTTTACGCGAAGGCGAGAAACACACTTTGTTTAACGTCGGTTTAACGTCTCTTAAGAAATTTATGACAGGGATGAAAGAGCTTGCCTCCTGGCGAGCTGGAATCATTTCGTTCCTTTTAACGACTCCCGAGGATTATAAAGCTTGCAGATATTTTTCCGAATCGGCACATATTATGTGAGAGAAGAGTCCTTCTCTGTTGAACGTCGTAGGGTGGAACTTATTGTTAGATGAGCCATTATTCATCGACAATACAGCAATCAGGCGTTTCTGAAAGAGGGACTAGTCAGCTTGCATTTTAACATACTACTAAAAATTGAGAAAGTGTATGGAGGAATTTTGCGAAACTCGCAATCTTTATATATTGTCAGTTTTATTGCATCCTTTACATGCGCATATCTATCTCTTTTTACGTGCACTTGAACATATGCGTATCTTGGGAAGATGTTTGCATGATTATCGCGTGAATTTTGCGCAAGATATCCTGTTTTTATCTTTCAACTTTTTGCGTAACAAAAGTTTCGACAAATTTGAGGTTTAAAAACAATCAGTATTGAAAAAAGCAAGAGAAAATTAAAAACTTTCATATACCTACCGACTGTCTTTAAAGCCAAATTAGAGAATCTACGAATCTTGATGTCAGGGGATCGATCATGCATCTTTTCCCCTAGGACGGAAACGTAAAAAGTGAAAAGTTTATCTCTTTCTATTCAACACCAATAGAAAGAGATAGTTACATGAAACTTTTCACGTTTCCGCTCTAGGGAAAAAGTTACATAATCGCTACCCAGATTTTAGAATAGGACTGTACTTTATAATTTTATATGCTGTGTAATTTTATGTATGTTTTAATATTTTATGCCTGCGTTCTTTTATTCCCATTGGAAGCTATTGGAAAAATAAAATATATAATAAACGTAACGTATATTATAGATTTTACCTTCCCAACAGCTTCCAATGTGAATAAACGAACGCAGGCTATGTACGTACATACATACTCTGATTTTTCAAATTGTATTCTACCACGTGTAAAAATATAAATCGAATTTTCTTCTGAATGCTGATACAAATTATTACGGATCATTTAAAGTGAGCTTAAGCTATATAATTACTTTTGAGAATAATACAAGATTGATTTCTTTTTAATGAAAATGCGAGATACGATCATTAGTAGTTATACATATATAGAAGTGCAATAAAAATATGTTCTGAAATGTCTCTTATTGTTTAACAATCATATTTTTTCAGACCTATCCCGTAGGGGCAAGAGCAAATTTGGCGATGACTGTCGGGTAGACATAGATTGCGGCTTCGATGGCTCTTATTGTGAACCGAAGAAGAAAAAGTGCGCTTGCAAGGAAGAATTTGAGGCTACGAACCATATCGACAAGTGCGGACACGGTAAGTTGCTTTCTGATATTCTGCACGTGGTGTTGCTTTACGTACGTACATATGAAATATATGAGAATCTCCAAGGGGAATCTCAATTCAGAGGGAGAAAATTGAAGTGGCTTTTCTTTCATGAAACTTTTAAGCTGCAATGTTATAAAATAGTGTCGCGTTTCAACATTATTAGTGACAGCATATAGTTCGAAAAGAACTAACTCTAAAATATTGTGTTAAGATATTAATGTAGCTATAGTTTATTAGCTTATATGCACAAAATGAAGTTCAGCAGACAAAAGAAATTCCATCCAGGAGGAGTGACCCAGCACGGCGCATATGTCAGTGCGATTAATTTCCATACGCGAATGCACTTGCTAGGTAAATGGGCCGGTGCTATCTCGATCGAGAATAATTCTATTTCCTTCTTGGCCAAGTTGCCACATCCAATAATTGCGATTTCGTACATGATATTGCATGGTAAACCGTGCGAATCTCGCAATCAAACAAGTCGATCCGATTATCGTTGCATGGGAGTGAACTATAATGCCGAAGCTCAAGAATGTTATTAGTATTTATTTACATAAGAAATAAATTACGTTAATGAATTCACCAAGAATTAAAAGAAAGGATTTTTAACGTGTTTAGCAGAGAAAGAAATGTTTAAAAGTTATCTAGTGTAAACACAATAACTTAGAATATAAAAAAATGTCTTGATATTCAGAATACACGATCGGAACTCATATCTTAAAGTATTTTTGAAATATTAGTTTTACAGCGCATTTAGAATTTCCCATTTACACTTCCATAACTCACGGCGAATGTATTCTGAAAATTATTTTAGCGGCGAATGTGAACGAGTCCTGTTTTTTCCACGAGCAATGCGAGGCGCGGGTGATCCAAACGGAATGTCGCGACGGCCGATGCATCTGTCTTTTCGAGAAGATCCCGGTGATCCAGGCGGACGGTGTAATAACCTGCGTAGGTAAGGAACGGAATTATCAAGAAATGAGGACATGACAGCTTTAATGAAAATCCTGTCGTGCCAACACGACTTTGACATGGTTCGGCGAGAATTGAAAGCGCCGGAATTAATGACGTCGTAGCTCTCCCACTTGCTCGATTCCGATATCCCTCGCACGCCAAGAATATCTTCCTTGATTAAAGAAATATGCAATTATTTAACTCAAGTTTATTGCTAAATATCTATTACGTTTTATAATATTAATTATGTTATTTTCATCGCTTTTACTTTTTAACAATAAGTATTTTCGAATAGGTATAAATCGAATAAGATTTAAGAATTCAAGTTTATTGTTTAAAATTACTAAAAGAAGAATGCTGAAATAACAAAGTTATCAGTGAATGACAGTTAACTATCGTAAATGATAAAGACATGTATTCTTTATACTCAATACACGCGCATTCTTCTTCTTTTAAGTTCGCCATTTTTTATGTATATATGTATATGTATATCGATAGTACGGTGCGCGTTTAACTCCTAATTCCTTTAGGGCATGTGGGATTTAATTTACGAGCGTCTAGTACCGCGGTCTCTGGTGCAAACCGACCGATTTGTTTTCAGCCGAGGTCAAAGAGTCAACCAGCCTCCGGTACATCGATCCGGCGATGATCGGCATTCTCGTTGCCATGGCACTGATGTTTGTCATCATCTGCGTCGTTCTTAGACTCTTCAGCAAGTAAGCGGATCAGTTTGATAAGCGTTACAAATAATTTTGTGCAATCAAAATAAAGCGTCGACAGACTTCAATTAAGTTTGCAATATCCTTTAAATAATAACGCAACCCAATTTCGATAAACCTCTTGCACGTCAGCCACAAATAATTAAAATGTTAATTCGAGTTTAATCGTAGGATGGAATTAAAATCGTATTCCGGTGACAACTTTAATTGAAGTTGTTCAAATTTCAATACTGATATGCATTTAATTCGGATGACTGTTGTTTTATTTGACAAATCGCAGTGTCGACATGTGTTCAATAAAATAAACGCATATAGCACCTAGAATAATTAAAATTTCTCAAAATATTGTTATATGCTATTGTGTATGTGTTTCTGCGGGAAATAATGCAGCATTGTTTTATGATTCCATTCATCACGGAGAAATGAGGTCGCACACAAAATGTTTTAGCGTTTACAAAATCAATCGATTTTACGAAACTTTTGCTCAATTATTCGTATATTCTGCTAATATTACATTTGCAGAATTTCTCATTTCTCGTGTAGAAAATACAATTATAACTACATATGTACAAAACTGTCTATTTTCAAAGCTGAAATAAAAATATTAACTCACAGAACATTTGTAAATCTCACAAGATAGAGAACACTCTAAGATATAATTGGAAAATTTCAAGATTCGCTGCATAAGCGTGCCAACTATATCATAAAAAGAATTTGATTAACTGTTGATAACAAACGGAAAAAGGAGCGATTAAATAAAAAATTCGTCGCGGACATCCGATTTGTTAATCATCTAGCACGATATGAAATTGCAGGGCCCGCTGGCGAGAGAACCGCACTATCTTTAATACACCCAACGCGCGACTGATGAATGTTTCGCTGCTGAGAGAGAACAAACTCTTACATGAGAGACGCGGTTCGAGGGCGAGCGTACGAGCTCCGTCGAGGCAACCCTCGATGGCGTCCTTGAGGGCCCACTCGCCGAACGCCTCGCAAGGTGCGAAACACTCTCACCACTCACAGCACAGAATGAGCCGTACGGGTTTTTCATTCACTTACTAAGCAAGCAACTTGTTATTCAAAGCCCTGTTGAAATAGAGCAAGCGACTCTCTTCTGTCTGTTTCGCGATATTTTCAGTGCAGCTTCGTGAAAATCGATGAATCCAACGGAAGATAGCTCTCATTATCCGCGAGTTGACTGACAATGAAGTGATTCACGAGTAAAACTTTTAATCTAATTCAAGACAAGAATTGATGTGAATAATTATATGAGAGACGTGGTTAAAATGTTTGTGCTATATAGTTTTATTTTTAATTTTTTTGTATCATATTGCGCATTCGTGTTATTGCCATGTTATATTTATATATATTCTCTCCTCGCTCAAAAACGTTTTATTCACTTACTCAAAGTGTCACATAATTGATCCATCACCAAAATGAAATAACGTTTCTCAAATCGCAGATTATTCTTGTTTGTCACATTTAATAAGAGATTTTAAGTTTATTTTCTATATTAACAATTGGTTTATTTTGATCATAATTTTTGATATGTCTACACACTACACAATTTACAATTACAATCAATAATGTGTGATAAAACTTCGTCACTATATCAAAGTTCTGTATTTTGTAATTAATAATTATATTAATTTTGTTACTTAAAAATTATTTGATATTAAAAGTCGATTTACATACCTTTTGTAAATCTTTCTTTTAATTACTGCCACTTTTTTTGTAAGTATTCATAGATTGATTATCAGCAAGCCGTGTTACAGCAATTTACATAGTAAATTCGTAATATACGCGAGAGCAAATTTGCATATTGTTTTCCCTCGACTTAATCAAGGGATTTTCTACCGCCGAAGGGATTAGGATTCCCCGAACACATTTTATAGATAATGATTGCGTGCCTCGCGTGTCGCGTAATTTAATTAGATTGTATAAGCATCACTACTCTGCCATACTCCATCTACGAGGATTTCGTTTGAAAGACAGGACTTGGAGTGCATCGATTTTCACAGGACTGCGTATGTATTATACATACAAGTATCCATATTTAAGAGTGACCGTTTATCTACCTGTCTACTCTTATGTAGAAGAGCTCTTTTTACGCTCCTTGGTACAGAATCTTCTTGTACTTTACGCATGTACAGTCGCCTGCCAAGAGGGTAGCTTGATCGAATCAAGGAATTATCCTTTTGCCAACATTAGAATCGTTGAATTTTCTATCCGGAGTAAGGGCCAAAGCACATATGACAGTCGTAGTCGTGGACGTAAATAACGCACAAGCTTTGGCGTATCCTGATCTGTCAGGTCGGGGACTATATACGACCGTCGTATATCGCTACGCCATGTTATGTGCTTTGACCCTAACATTTTTAACATTTTTTTCAATTAAATTAATTTTTAAAACATTATTACTTTTTAATTGTGACATTTGAATTATCATATTGTATAAATATGTTGTCATTTATTTTTTAAATTAAATTTATTTTGCGTTACGCGTAACCAGTAAATAACCATGAATAATATATTATTACGTTATTGTATCACGTTACTATATCTAATTATATTAAATATAATTTTTCATTCACACAATTTATTAATTTGATTCAAAGTTCAAGTTGGCACAGCGATGTACCTTGATTTATCGTTAAAATACACTTTCTAATTAACTCAACTCTCTTTGCAGTCAACATTTAAAGTAGTTATCCTCAAAGATCTCAACTGTGACTATCATTCTTGACTATTCTGTTGATCGAGGCGTTCTATTGTAAAAATTCTTCCGATGCGACATGGTTTCTTAAGTGGGCAAATCTAGTTTTTCTGACAACTTTATTTCCACATACTTGTCTTGCAAAAGTAAATAAAGTACAAGTACAAATATATCGAGATCGAGACTAAAGCGTTCATAATGTTATACGATCTAGTGTTATACAGCCCTATTGAGGACACGTCGCAACTTCAGTTTAGTAACTTGTGAGTTATACTAGAGAAAGTTTCTTGTAAACATAGTTTATATTGAAATTTGCGAATATAGTTGCTTGCTATAGTAAAATATCGTTGTTTGCATCTGCACGATAATTCGTTCATAGAGACATCTCATCGATAGATGAACTACATAGAGAAAACATTTTCATTAGAAAGAACGTAAATATGTAGCATCATGAGGGAATAGGAACATTCTGAAATTAAATAATTTAAAATTTTTTATCACATTGATTAACGTAAGAGAAATTGCAAAGGATTATTCCTTTTGATTTCGTTCATGCACAGTTATTGAAAAAGGTTCTCTTATTCCCTTTAATGAGAAGTAGAGAAGTGACATAATGCAATTTAGTATTGTTCAAATTTTGATTTGCGCAAAAATGCACTTACATTCGTGTGTTTACATTTTCGCACGCAGTTCATGAACACACTGAGGCAATCACTAAATTTATAATAATCTCATGAAACACTTATCGATTTAATCAAATGAAGAGATTAAAAGAGTCTTTTTTACCATAAAGATACTGAAGATTATCTACTTTTCAGATAGAGTTAGCTAGTTATATAATTAAAGTAATGTACTTTATGATATTAAACTTCTGTCAAATTTTTCATACGACTTTTCAATCGTGTACATAAATTACTACATTGAGAATAAATTGCTAGTTCTTGATTGCTCGGTATTAATATTATTTTAATCCTTAAATCAAAATATCGATTTCCGAACTTTGACAGTAACTTATAGCTCACAATTGTGGAATAAATGGGTTTATAATCATTTTTGGGGGAACTAATTAATAAAAATATCTGTATACATATATCTTGAAGAAGAAAAAGTGTACAAAGAAAGATAAAGCAGTTTTTGCTTATAGTACTTTTCGATTGTCAAGGCTCGAATTCTTTCGTTAGAAAAAAAAGATGTAGCGTGCTCATTATACGTGCCGTATACACAATACATACACACAATGCACAACACATACACGAGCACATTCAGATACATGCATTCACCGTTTGTGACGATTGACTACTTTGCTCTGACTAATGCATTTCTTCCGCGCAGGTCTTCATGCTTAAAGTTATTCTGGCTTTTCGTGTCGTGCTGCCGCGCTGTCGCGCCAAAGCACGCGATTCTTTAGCAAGAAAATCTCTGTCGCCAGGGTCACGCACAGGATCGCGACGTGGGAGCCACAACAGCAGCGGGAACGGTTCGGGCGCCTCGGTGAAATCTCCGACTAACAAATCTCCGAATCATACGAACAACGTCACCGATCCGGTCCAGGAGAACGTCACCGTCGAGATTCTCGACGCGAAGGCATAAGCTAGGACCGTCTTAGCACAAAACGATCCGATCGACAACACATTCCCGTTTGTCACTTACTTAGTCCCGCGTAGATTAACGCGCGGCACTACATCGTATAGATCGCCGTCCGTAAATAAATCTTCAACCCGCATATATAAATTGGCCCGCTTTGGTCTCCAAGTTTCCGTTCAGCGGCTGAGGAACGAAAATTTCACGTTCGATAATGCAAATATCATTGGTAAATACTTCGCCTAGATAAATCGCGACGAAATACCGACGACTCGAGCCTGACGTCGAGATCTCGACGAGGTCGAGGTATAAATTATCGGTAATTGGGATCGCCTAAGGACCTATTGCCGCTGCTTTAACAGTAGCAGGAGAACCACACCCGGTTAGATTAATTACGAGGAGTCTTTTCAGCGCGTCTCTCTTTTGATATAATTCGATAGTCCTCTACGTATCTAATATAGAATATAATTGAATGATGTTCATCAGAATATTGATTTTTCTTTAATTCTCTTATTTTACCGATGGGATGCTAAATCAGAAAGCCATCTCAGAAATAGAAAAGAAACATAAACATAGCTTATTACAAGGTAGACAAGTAAACTCTCAGTAATGGAATGCCTATATATTATGCTGTTTTTAGCAATAGCAGCTGTGACTAAAACTGAACGATTAGCGATCGTATGACTACATCAAGTAGTGAATTAATTTTTCGTATTAGCTCGACAAGATGTTAACGAGCTGTTTTGAGAACAGAGAATTGTTTAGTAAAAAAGCGATTCGGTACACATGATTCAATACACTTAAGTTGCGAAATATCGTAGAAGATATTTCGAGAGAGACTCTATTCGAGAAGAACGTTACTAAAAAGGAGAAAAAATAAATGGTGCGATAGTACTTGATGCTGAAAGAGATGAAAATTATCATATCTCTTGATACTGTGACAACATAATTCTATTGCTCGTCCGACTATTGATGCGGTTTCTCGCCCGTTCACTTCGTGGTAGCTGTTTCAATCGTTTGTGAAATCAAAGCGCGCCGATACCGTAACGTGACAATGCACAATTATTGCGGCGATGGACAATTATTGAAACACACCTGTAACGCGAACGCCTTTCGGACCAAGCGGTTTTAGCACCGCATTCGATCGTTTACCTGGAATGCATATAACGTATGGAACACACAATTGGTAACCATCGTACGCGATACACGCTCTCATATAGAATATCCCTCGAGGGATACATCGAGAAGAAACATATATGGTAATACAACACAGTCCGTTAAGGAAGTTATGATGAATAGCGATTGCAATTGACTAAATTGTCGGGTCACATATAGCAGCCAGTTCTCATTATTATTAAAAAATGAAGCAATGATAGTTTTCTTCGACTAATGTCGACCGGTCGGATTCTCACAGTATATAGATCACATTAGGGATTGAAGCGAGGACAAGTCATTCACAGTGTCGATGCGATGATCGGTACGATCAGATGCGCATGCCTTTTCCCTGAAAGTTTTTTTTCGGTGTGTGACGCGGCGGCGTCGAGACGCGGCAGAGCGACGATCGCGGGATCAATGATTAATCCTTTACATCGAGAGAGCGATGCTGCGACTCGATTGGCTCGCGACAAGCCAACGCGAAAGGGACCAGAAAGGAAAGCGCGATGCACGTTTTTGGAGGTGCGAAATTGAGGAGCGAGGTGCGTTGCCGAATTCGCTGAGACGGTGCCATCACGCGGCGGTGATTAAGAATGTATCTGACGAATATTAAGCCACATACAATCAAAAGCGTAGCATTGAATAATAATAATTGTATCAATTAAATAGAATTAATCAGAGCACGAGTAGACATTTCCTCGAGATGCGCACAGATTTCTCATAGACCGAGAAGAAAGAGAATGTTTGCGAATAAGAATTTTCCCTTACAATTAGAGAAACGTCTTAAAATTCAAAAGTTTTTCTTACTTTTCTGTCTCTTTCTATTTTAGAGAGTTTATTGTAATATCTACATTAAATGACAGATAAAACTAAGATACATTAGGAAAAAAAAGAATTCCTTTTAAAGAAGTGTATATTTTATTTTTTTGCAAGATATATACTATGTATTATTAGAGAAATCAAAGAAATTGCAAGATTCAGAAAGCTCTAAGGATTTTTAGAAAAACTTTATTTGAGGAATGTTATTCAAATTTTCCACCTCTTTTGAAAACCTGTAGGTTGCCGTTTTACGGCGCCCGATAGAAATCCGTATGAGGCACTACGTGCATTTCTATATCGAGTTCAACGGCGAAGGAAAATCGTAGAATGACCAATAGACACATATATTTCTATAGTTTGTTTCATATATGTATTGCGATGACGTTTGACGTCTAGAATCAATATTCACCCGACAGAATCGTCTCTTTTCGCAGCCAAAAATTTATCGCTAACGCCGAGCTCGACAGAAATTAAATATGACCGGAATTCGAAGTCCGACATTCGTATATTGATAATAAATTTGATTCATTGAACAGGCAGATGAAAATGTACATCGAGCTCGACGTAACATCGGCAACGACTAGTGCTCGGAAATTTACGGCTTTCTCCTCATTGGTGACAAGAAGCAAGAGAAAGAGGGGTTGAAGTGATAAAGAATATATATCTATTAAAAAATATAATTCTTTAAAGAAAGAGGCATTAAAAAATAAATCTAGTTTGTAGCGGTCCAAAGAGTACGCATATAATCCACAAGAAATTGTAAGATTTAGAGTAAGTATTTTAGGATCGTATGGGAACGTTGCTAATTATTAAGCTTTGCCGTTCATTATCGCTTTTTTCCTCCTACAACTCCTCTCTTCTCTGCGATATGCGTCTCAAATCTTGTCAGATTTTGCTCACGCGACATATCTCGATCGCTAGAAAAATGCTTTTAGCTTGCTTCGTTGGAAAAAAAAATATAACAATATTGTATCATTGGTGAATGTTGCGTGTGCACTTGTCAAGAGTTTAACGGAAATTCGTTAAACTCTTATGTCCGGTGTTAGGTGGAAAAGAATCTCTTTGTGTAGAGTGACCAAAAAAAAGCGCGATATTATATACAAGTTTCGACACACAAAACACGCGACTTTATACGAATATCTTATTGTTAATCGCACAAGAGTACATCTCGGTATCTCGAAAGCTTGCAATGTCCGTATGCGATAGAATTGTGAGGGCAGACGAGCAATCGTAGCCCAGTACGATTGTATCTCAACAATTTAGTGCCTGCGCTGTCGCGTTTCTAAAGATAGATCTAAATTTATCGACCATTTATTACGAGTACAGAATATATAAAACATAAACACATATATATATAAATAAAAAAAAATATATATATATACATTTACATGCATACATACGTATTGTGCGAGAAAGAATCTATAAAATATATTGATAAATGCGTGAATACACGATTATTTATGAAAGCTTGGCACTATCTGCACTATCTGTAGATTACTTCTGTAACGCCTAGCGATTGTCTCCACTCTGTGATCCGTGTGCAATAGCGTAGCTGCGATTATCCTCGCGAGCATTATCGTGATTACATTGTTATCGTCACTATTACTGTCACTACTATTATTACTGTTATTATTATTATTATATCATCATTATAGTTGCTGTCGCTGTAATTGTCGCTCGTACGAGGAGCGTCGAGCAAAACGACTCGCTTAGGATATTACCCGCCCCGCACCTGACATCGTCCGCGTTTAAATTCGTCACTACCGTGACACGCATCCTACGACCATCCGGTGGATTCGCATCCGCGCGCGGATCGAAGAGCAAGCATTATTATCACCGATATCACCGATAGTACTTTTCACGCAGCGATGAGGCCGAGGCACCGTCGCCGCGGGACTCACTATAAGGGATAATGCGTGCGTGCGCGTGTATGTGTACGTGAGATGGCCAGAATATAATAGATAACGGCCAGAATATAATCGTATTTGCAGATAAGAATCTAGCGCGTAAGATTGGGTGATTTTAGCCGATCGAATCATTGAAGTCACCGTCGAGAAATCGGAACGATCCAGAAACGAAATTCGGGGAAGGTTTCCGTTCCAGGATCGCGCGATTTCGGGACACGACATTCTTCTTCTAGACTCTACAGTATTTATAAAGTCTAAAACGCGAGAGTTAATGAGCACACTTATATACACACGATCCATCGATCGCGCAAAATGATCTGCACGAAATCTGGGTGGATTTTTCGAGCTTCAGGATAATTATCTATATAGGGTAGTTGAGAGACGCTTCGACGATGCGGATATATTATATGATATTCTAAGTATACTTTAAATCCGATATCACTTATCAAGAGTATATTCGCGAGCAAGTTCGCGCACAGACCTTTTTCTCCGCCCTTAAACAAAAGAAAGAAACGAAGAAAAGGATGAAAAAAAAAGAGAGGGAGCAAAATGGAACAAGCAGAGTGCCTATTCTTTATCACTCGAAGACGCTCGCTCACTTTTGTAAGTCTCTAATTCTAACAAGTAAGGGATTAAGTAACACTTTTTGCACACTTTACTCTACTAGAAGCTCGGTGGTAAAAGTAAAACACTTTCTAATACTAGATACTTTGTAACGTCGTAAGTTTAAGATTTTCCTTACTGTTTGACGGATCGATTTGTTCGATGATAAACGAATAATATGTACGAATATTACGTTATTGAATAATATGTAATTACGACGTTCTTTTGTCAGAACTATAATTTCGTTTTATACACAGTGTATCTCACATACCTATAAGCAGGTAGTTTCGATTTTAGTCATCGGCTCCCAAGCATTATTATTCGCTGAACAATTTGTAGACGGGAGAATAGGCTCTAGCGAGTTCATAGCATGCATCTAAAAAGTTTTTTTGCATCGCGCATTATCGCGTGCCAAACCGATTCACTGCGCTAACATTAATCGACGGATTCGTAACTGCTGAGGCAGTCACGCGATCTTTTCAACGACCAAATTAATCGCAATGATGACTGTAGATTAGAACGGTCGAGATTTTTTTGATATCGTAACGAGGAATAAATGATGGGTGTGAATAATACAAAGAGGAACGACGCCGTGATCCAAATATGGGGAAGTGTTTGGATCATCGTCCGTTCCCTAAAAAAAAAAAAATATTTCACAAAAAGGGTCAAACGCGAAAAAAATTTCAAACTATATGCAAATAACCTGCTATTGCTAATTGACCAATACATAGTCGCGATTAGGGAAAGGCCATCGACTATCATAGAAAAGATAACGTATTAGGTTCTAACTAAATAGGGCTATAGGGCATGCAAAATTTGCAGAATTTCAGAATAACATCTCCCTATTTGATATTGATTAGTTTCGATCTAGTATCTCACGAATATGCGTTTAGAGATCACCATGTCCCAAAATTACGATCACCGTCAATGATTCCCGTTCTACGAGGAAACGGCGATGGATAATCAATGCATTTGGTACAAATGACGATTATTTCAACGATGAATATGCGAGCGCGATCGTATTTTTTAACGACAACCCTCGAGTACAATGCGAGTAATTTAAATTATAATTTACCTAACGGATTTTTTAGTATCTTCGAACTCAGCACGAATATTGTTACCCAAAACCGTACTTCTACTTTACACAGTAAACGTTAATTGTCGCGCGATATATATTATATCTTATAAGACGACGAAGTAAGTTGTTTCTTCTTATATGTAACCAGCGATAAGATTTAATCTAAGCGCTAAAACTGCTTGCTTTCAAGAGACTATGCGGTATATGGTATTAATACTCTATTATTAATTAAGCTTTTGCGGATTGCTAAAGTTCATCATATTATATATATCGTAAACTTTATGCTTGCATTTATTATTATCCACGAGATAGATAGAACCATTTCTGTCTGTCTTACCGTTGCTCGAGTAGCAGATCGTCAACGGTACTCACGACACATTGTGATCTGATCATAGAGTATAAATTTTCAATAATACGCGTTTAAAATGACAAAAAGAAAAGAAAAAAATATATATAATACATATATATTGTTTTTGCATACATATATGCAATTAAATATATATCATATGTAATATTTAATATATATTTAATTGCATCGATGATGCGTAGATCTTTAATCTAAGCGTAAATGCTGATTTATGTGACGAGTAAGTCTATGAATAAGTTCTATACTATAACTAATTACATTAATAATCTAAGGATATCTACGTAGTGATGGTTTTTAGACAGCAACTGAAATCCCAAGGAACTCTCTGTTGAAATCGCATTGTAGGTATCATCGAAAAATTGGTACCAGAGATAATTTGAAAGCGCGTCAAGCGCGATAGCGTCGATAGTATGTTTAGAAGACACGGTATGAGATTGGGTGCGGGTGAAATATACGCGAGTCCCTCTTTCTCCAATTTTCAGTATTTTATAAAGTCCGGTATGTGCAAAAATGAAGATGGATATCGTCAAATTACGTGATCTACGTCGTAATTACCTGTACTAACTTTATTATAGCGGCTTAGCGTACTTCGTAATCTTTATATCATACTTTTCATATTATATAGCTTACGACGATCAATAATTATAATCTAATATACCAAAAATGTATCTAAAACTCAATTATATTCTGATTCTTCAAATTCGTTTTAATAAAATCTTAATACACTATACAAGTCATATTGATTTAATCTTCCTCTTTACCGTTTCATTAGTCGCCCAGCAAAAGTGACAAGAAATCATGAGATGTAAAAAATAGAAAATCTAGTTATAAAATTTAATCAGAAGGATAATAGATACTAATTATAATAAATAATAAAACGCTTTAATTTGCTTTTTTCAAATAAAAAAATACATATTTAATTACGAGTTTCAATATTCTTTGAATCGACTTTGTGTAACGCACCCACGTCTCTTTAGTTTATAGCAGAACTCATTTACAATAAACGAGGGAAGGAATGCATTAAATGTAAATTGATTAATAAAAAACTTATCACTTTATACAAATAATTATTTTGTTAAAAAAGATAGAGTAATATTTACAAAATTATTAGATACATCAAACCTTTTATTTATACGAATTCTTTGCTCGCCAGTCGAGAAACTCGTCGAACTCGGCTTCGTCACCGCTTGATGCATCATCATCGATATTTTCTTGCTTTCTATCAGTACCTTGTACTTGTTCCATACGTTTTGCGATATCCATTACCCTTTTATAGAAATTAATTTACAAATTAATTTATATTTTCTGATACTTTACACATATATTTAAAATATTTTTCAAATATAAATTATATTGAAAATATACTTACCTAGACCAATGTCTAATTTGTTCCTCAATTTCATCCAACTGTCTTTCTGTTGTTGCTTCTTCCTGATCGTCAGCTATAATTTGTGCAGATTGCGCAGTCTCTTCCTTAATTTCTTTTTGAAATTTCTCCCATTCCTCTTCAATGGGATCTTTGTATTCAACGTTACGAACCTGAAAAAGGAAAATTAAATATAAAAAAATAAAGCACAAACATTTTAATTTTGAGATAAATTCAAATACGTTGCTGTACTTTAATAAGCACAATGCTTGGTGTGATAATTTTTCTAAATTGTACTTTAATACCTTTTTTATTTTCGTTAGTGTTATATTTAAATTTTGTATTTAAAATTTGTCATATACATTTTTGTCTTTCATATTAATGTAAATTTCAACATCTATTGCTACGCTATGGCAATCTTACCTTAGCATCCATCACTGGATCATCAAAAAATCCTTCTGGAAGAATAGCTGGATTCGTATCCTTTACTTTATCTTTATCTTTTTCTTCCTCTTCTGTATGTTGCACATCCACAGTATTAACTGCGGAATCTCTATCTTTGCTCTCCAACTTTTGCGTTGGAACAGGTGCACCGTTAACTTGCTTTGAATTATCATCAAAAAAATCTGCTGGTAAACTTGACTTGACCTGTACTACTGGCTGGCTAGAGTTTTTCAATATTCCTTTTATCTTTTTACTTGCGGAAGTATCTTGAGATGGAGAATGAGGTCTTTTAAACGTTTGAACATTAGGCGTCTTTACAGTGCTTTCCGTTTCTAGTTTAGTCTTTTTTGCTAACGCGACATTATCCTTGTGCACCTTGGAATTCAAGTGAACAGGCCAAACTGTTTCATTCCGTACAACTGTCTTGCATAAAATGCACATAAGCTGTCCTGAATCTGTATACGTGTTTATCAGTTAAGGATGCCTTCAAGCAATAACCAGTAATAAACGATACAATTTGTAACAATAAAATAAGTAACATATGTCAATGCGTTTTGCTTTATAATTGTATTACTTTAATTTTATTGATCATATATGTTCATACCTGTTAAAGTGCTATGATGCGCTACAGTCAGGTTTTGAAAATTCAGTAAATAAAATGTAAAATAAAATCTTTTACAAGAGCATTGTACAATAGGAACGTCTAACAATGCATTTTTGTCAATTTTTCAACATAATATGTTAATATGATCAGTTTGAAGTGTAAGAAACGTATGTTAACCTCAAATTGCGCTACAGGATTATAAAAAGGATATTTTGCCAACGGCGAGTCGATCTTCTTAACAGTACCGAGTTTCTTCTTGTGTTCACTCATCGCCTTACGCAGATCGTCCTGCGTCAGTTTCCTTTTTAAGGACATTTTCACTCTATTAAATCACCACACACAACGCGAGACACAACGAATAATTTATAGGTTATGTTTTGATTCCGTTTCGTGTCACTATCGTCACTATAGAAGCTATACTGTAGTCCCTTGCCCTTGACTAAAAAGTATTACAAATATTCATTCTGATATATTCAATTATTCTTACATAGTTTTCTTTATTCGTGAATATTAATAAATTAAATTTAAACGATCGATGTTCATCAACCAACAATAAGTAAACAAAGAGTGACCAAACGGATAACATTTTTTCAAAATTATTAATAAAATTCAGATTGCATGAATAAATGGAATGTAGCAAAATTTTTAACAATTTTCCATCGAAGCTGATTTGTAAATTTTTGTATTGTATAAATCAATGCCACAATAATGCGCTATGCTAACACATGAATTATTTTAGAACTTGGCGTGATTATATATGCTTATATTCTCGTGGCAGAAAAATAATATTGTTCATGAAATTTGTTTTCTTTATGTTTTATGCATTTCGAAATATGTTGTAGAGTCGGATTTTACAATTTGACTTTTTTTATCTTTCCCAAAAAATTATAATAAACAAAAATATTAACTTGTGATCAGTTTCGCTTTGTTTGCCAATTAATAAAATTTTTATATTAATCTTTTTTTTCAAAAAATTTTTTTAATAACGCATTGGAGTACAGCTAACTCAAATATCACAATTATATCATAATTATAAAATATAATCTACAATCATTAGGATTGTGCTCTCTCTATTGAATCTCCTCTTATTCTTTAGATAGTCAAATTTATCGAAAATATGTTTTGCAAAGTGTCTGCTACAAATCTTGTCAGCAGAAATATAATAGAATAACAAATTGACTGCAGAAACCGAGCAAAATCTGTTGCGTCATAAACATTTAAATAATACATTCCATTGTTAGATTATGTCAGCAGATCCTGCTGGCAGAATACGAGATTAATGCAGACGTGCAATTGGTGCCAATATTATGCCGCAACATTCTGCTCGAATGGGAATCGGATAGCAAACTGCTAGCATACACATACTAACACTTATTTGCTTACTGGGATATAGCAATGGCACGTGTGTAGAATTTATAATGGTAATATAAGAAGAGATCACCAGTTTTTAGAAGGACAGCTATTTCATCTTCATAATAGAAGGATATTCAGAGTAGACTATAGAGAGGGAGAAGCTCTCTACCATAACGTGATTCTGGATTTATCGTGAAAATTACAAATCCATCGTTCACGTCTACTCTCAGAGAGGTCTCCGTGGTGTCCACGTCACCCTTAATTGTAAATTGAAATTCTACGGAATTTAATTAGCTGTCACGCACTGCAGTTGCAAACATTTGAATCGCAATGCACGTATATTCGAAATTTGAATCGAAACAACGAACAAACTGTATTCTGGCACACGATATATGTTTCGAATCTTAGAACTGACCGCGTTTAGTTCGGCCACAATCGAAAGCTTGCGTGCATATATGTCAAGAAGAATTACGCGAATTATCGCTGTCATAGTTCGATCTGGCCATCGATCCCGAGTGATTAAAATTTATGTAGCCTGAGAGCCTTAAAACGAATCTTTCGTATTTTAGTCGTGGCCGCGAAGAGAGGAAGCGTGCTTGAATATCGAACAAGCGTCGCTTAGCGACATTTATATACATATTACGCGTCACTCGATATTTCGTGCGCGGAGGAAGCGAGAACTGAAGTTGTTGGAAACAGTTTCGGTACTGTAGATATTCAAATCTAGGTGCATTCGAACATTTATATCTCTCTGTCTTGTATCTCTTTATGCCGCTTGGCTTGCGCATTGCGACAGCCTGCGGTATAAATTTTTATATTAATTTTTCACATATCGTAAATGTCGTCGACACTTAACAATTTTCGAGTTGAATTTATCATTGCCAATTACACTGTTAAATTCGTAATGTCAAATTATATTCAATTTGAGTTATTTTTAACCATTCCTATCGCCAGCGCCCCTACTCAAATGTATATCGTTAATTCAAACTACAATAATATTAATTTAACTAAACCAATGGAGTTAAAGTAATACTGTTTTGTGTTAAAATAATAACGGCGGTTAAATATAACAGAACGCTATTTAACTCAAGATATTAGTTTAAATTTAATCCTTTAATATTTAACAGTGTAACATTTCCCGCACGATCGAATTAACGCATCGCGCGAATGTGCGTATAATTCAAACGTTCTTTTCGCGCGTATAATTCAAGATACGTTTTCTGAAGAGTACAAATAATTCGACGTAACGTAAATAATCATTTGACGATCATAACGCTCGTTCGAACGGGGTGCGTGCTAACATATCTCTGAGTGACGGAAAGAGTGTCCGCATAAAGGTGGTGAAGAGAGCGATTATCGGGTAGAGCCGGGAACAATCGAACGTCGTCGGAACGTCGCGTCGGCAGGTGCACGAGGGGGTTGTTTGCGCGGAAGCGTGGCGCAGCGGGTGGCGGGCGGCGGGGCGCGCACGGCGCGCGGCGCACGGGTGCGAGAGCGAGAGAGAGCCGAGAGAGCTTACGAGCGGGTGACGTCACGAGGCGGCCGGCGGACCAATCCGGGGCGGGCGTTCCACTCCTGCCAGCCAGTCGGTTTTCCGGCTGCTAGACCAGGCGGACGCCATATTGCTCGTGGCCGAGTGGTGGCGGCGGCCGCCTGTGTGTGTTTATATCGCGTCGCTCTTACGCGGTTTCCGCACGTTTTCGCACCGTGGTCCGTCGACGCCCGCGGATTCCCGTCGCTGGCGACGTGACGTTTACCGCGTGTGCCGGGTGCGCGCGTCCGCGCGTTACGCGACGTGCGCGAAACGGAGTGGCCCGTTCCGGTTAAATTCGCATTCGACAACAAAACACAGTGCGCGGCGACGTCCGGTCGTGTTTCGCGGATCCCCTATACGCGGCGGTAATTCGCGGATTTTCGAGCGGCGTTCCCCGGCCCGTGCGAAGGGAAGTGACAGACCGCGTGAGACCGCGGCGGGCAGTCGTGTTGTCGTTGTCGTCCGTGCCGCTCTCTCGCCCGTTTTCCGCGGTGCCTCGCGTTTTTCAGTCTCTCCGTCTCTCTCTTTCCCCCGTCGCTCCGTATTGGACCGTTCCGGAGCACCGACAGCTCCGCGCCTGGAGTCGCCTGTGTTTCTCGCCGCTCGTCTCGTCTCGTCTCGTCTCGTCTCGTCTCGTCTCGTCTCGTCTCGTCTCGTCAACCCCCTGCGAGGACCACCACCTGGGAAGGATGCCAGTGCGTAAACAAGGTGGTAAGCTCGTACATGTCTTACGAACATCAATTGTCAGCTCGTCGATTCGCAGCGAAATTGCCGGAGTCGCGGCGTGGGAGGGGCGGCTGCGGCTCGCGCGGGTCACTCGGTCAACTGTCATTCGGGTTGACGGATCGCGTGCATCCCCCGCGCTTCTCCGCCGCTTCCTCCCTTCTCGCGCGACCACGGTGTTTTTACGTCGAATTCGCATTTACCTTGCGATTTACGAGTGAGAGAAAGGAGTAACGTGTGTTAACGGGAGGGTGGGAGGGGGGGGGGCGGTCAGGTGTTCAGGTCGCCGATCATCGCTCCGGAGCTGCGCGCCACCCCTCGCGACCTTGAATTCGCGCACCGCGCCGATCGACGACGACGGTTCGGGAAGTGACGTGTTTTGACGAGCGTGCTCTTCGCTCGACCGGTCCCGATGGTCGCGCGAGACTCGCATTATACGGGGGCATTGGCCACGTGTAACTCGCGACCCTTTTTCGGCGCGGAACGAGGGCTTTTAAAGAGGATAGCTCGCTCGCGCGATCTCCCGTAATCCTGCCTCGTTTATTCTTTGCCGCGTGTAAGCGTAGAAATTCCAACGATGTGGAAAACTTTACTGCAAAACGACGTGCCGTTTCGCATATTTCCCGTTTTCGATCGATCAATTTTTGCGGAAGTTGTGCGAAATCGAATCGCGAACTTACGCGTCACGCAACCGGAATTTGCTGTTGCATCTCGCGTGATTATTCGAGTGAAAAGGATGTTGGTAGTTTTTTTGAAAGCGTTTCTCGCAGAAACGTTCTTGTCAAACACGGCTGATTAATATTGTTGTAATTTACATATCGTATTTAATAATATAGAAATATACCGATACACTGTTAAATTTGTAGCGTCAAATTATACATATCTAATTTGAGTCATTTTTAATCGTACTTATAAGTCACCACTGCTCCTACTCAATATGTCGTTAATTTGAAACTGAAACAATGTTAACTTAATCGATGGAGTTAAAAGAATAAATTTCGACACACATGGCAGTTAAAAATAACAAAATGTTATTTAAATTCAAGATATTAGTTTAAATTTTAGCCTCGATTTTAGCCTTTAATATTTAACAGTGTATTGTGCAAAGATACTCGGATTTATTGTGTTATTTAATCTTGGTAGCTTCTTTTATTTTGTGTGTGAGGAAATAAAAATACAAAATTACAATATATTTATTGATATTAACATATTTACAATAATGTAAGTATACAAATATTGATATGCAATAATTCAATGTATTATGTTGACAATATTCTTAATTTATCTTAATTACTTATTACGAGAATATTATACGCGAGATGGTAAAAAAAGGCAAGCAATCAAAATAGAAAAAAATTTCTTAATAAATGCAATCGCACTTCAATCGATCTTAGATTCAACTTAATTTTCATCTTCGAGATTACGCGACTTTTATAAAAGTTAGTTGCATTGTGTGGTTTTGCGGCAAATATTCGGATTAGAAATTTATTTCTGTCTTATCATCTTTTCTTCATTGAAGAGATTCTGTGAGAAAGTGAAAATTTGTCAATAGTTGCACACAATCGCATTTCACGCTAAGTATAAGCCTGTCAATCTTGAACTTAGCTTAATTTTCTTAGGCAAGCTGTACGGAAAGCTATAATTGCATTATTCTCACGCCGTTCGATTCTCGTGCATGAATCATAGGGGGTGATATCGGGAAAAGCCTCGATATTGCGAACTCGTCTCTTCGACGAGAACACGATTCTCATCGATGTCGGCCAGTTGGCTGGCGGCGTGTTGCAATAATCGCGCCGTCATCGTCGCGGGATATAAGATATAAGCCGTCGTTTCGTTGCTTGAACGGGGGCCAAGAAAACGCAATAATTTCGGCACTAGGCGAGGCTCCCTCGGCCGCGGTAATGCCGACGTGTAACTCTCACGGCCATGGGCTCGGTCATCACCAGGCGGTGCCGACAATTCTGTTCTCGAAATTGCATCGCGCTACATCGCGCTCTCTCGGTCGCTTCCTCGCTTTTGCGACGACGGCGACGACGGCGTATTTTAGCGGGCGATCTTTAGAGCGCCAACCTTGCTCCATAATCGCGAGAGATTTTCAGAGTTCTTGTCGACATTAGAGCGCTCGCTTTATTACGCGCGACTAGCCGTGAGATAACATTGATTACGGCGTCTCGTTATACGTACAGATATCCTTATTTTGTGCGCTCGATATTCACGAGAATATACGATTAGGTGTAATTTTATGCGATCTTGACATTTTAATGAAACGATTCGTTGCCGACACACCGAAACGATATATAAACACGCTTAAAATGTATTTATTTCGCTTATTCTTAGCGGAAATTAAGTTGAAGGATTTTGTGAGCTGTATACGGCGAGAAGGCGGCGATACTTATTAGATTTCCTTCTTTCGTTTCTTGCAAAATTACTAAAGCGCTGCTACTAAAGCGTTGTTTTGCTCGAGTCGAAAGGAGGCCATCCTATTTTTGCAGAAATTTCAAGCTTAATGTCCAGACGTAATTCACTTTGGCCGTTTAATTAGAATCGCGTACTCGACGATGTATGGGTGTTTACTTAAAAGCGCGTTTCGCGTGTAAAGTTTAAATGGAATTTAAATCTGTCGTTTGGTTTAAATTTAACTTCTCGCTTAAATTGCGTGAGCGACGACGATCGCGGGGCCATGAAAGTCGCCGGAATATATTTAACGTCGATTCAATGTTTAATTATCGTCGGGGTGGGAAGAAAAGAGGGATCGATCGTACTAGAATGGGACGGGTTTCTTTAGATAGAAGTTATAGATCTCTCTCTCTCGGGGAGAAGTCGGAAGCGAAACTTGAGACTTCGCGCGGAAGCTCGCCGCGCCGAAAATGAAGAGATCGCTTTTAATAACTTTAAGATTTGTCCTTGCCAAATCTTGCGGTAATTTTCCCGCCGTTAAACCAATTAGCAAGACGAATGTGGTATTTCGTATTTCGAAGAGCGTTCGTCGAGCTGCGGGGAGCGTATTACGTAGGTTGTCTTCGTTGACTGATAAGAAAGGCGTAAATAACTAAAGCGCCCGGGGTTCCTCGGATAGCGTGTAGTTTATGACGTCGCGTGGAGTTGTGCGGTTCTGAGGTTAATCCCTGGACGCCACGTGTTTCGCGAGCGTGGTGCAACAGCGCGCGCCAAATCATCTCGCGCGAAGAATCGATATTTCATGGGGCTCCGGTATACTGGGAGCAGAAGGGGTGTGGGTCTCTCGCCGTTTTTCACGGCGTCTCTCTCTACGAGCGTGTGTGGGATCGTGTCGCACTCGAGTTTACAAATTTCCGCGAAACGTTGCTCGCGCGACGCGATCGCATTTCGAGAGTACATCGTGTATAGAGGAATAGCGATTGTATGGCAGCACGTGCTGCGAGAAAACGAGGTGGAGGTAAAGGTAACGTATTGATTCTCTTTTCAGCTATGAACTTCTGTATATGTAGGCCAACGGCGGGCGGACGTATCCAGAAGGGCATTCGGGCGTAAACAGCGTTAACGCTAAAATATAGACACATTTATTGTCGGAGCGATCATGTAACTTCAAGTCGCAGATATTTTTTTCTTTTTTCTTCTTTTTTTTTTATAAAAGACTTTCACCGGAGCAAAAAAAGCGCGGAGGGACTCTCATAGCGTCATCGTAGCGTCGCCTCTCCTGTAATGACTTTCAAGTAAAATATTTATAATCCGTGAAGTAATTTTTTTGTTATATTCATCTACGCAAACCGTTGTTTTGAGAATACGTATTGTTCTCGCGCGTAAGAGCATCTCGTCTGAAATTATATATCGTTCTTACTTTCATTAGTCACGGTCGGCGAGTCGTTTTATTAGAATTTCTATTTTGTACGTTCGGTTACTTGCCGGGTCAAACGTTGCGTCGTGGCGCGCTTCTAATTTGTAAGACGAGACACACCGGCAAGGTCGTAGCGACGATGGTTTTCAATTTCTGCGGTGTATGCGTTTTTGCAGACGAAGACGTAGAGAGATAGAAGCATAGGGGAGTCGTGGATGGTTTATGACTCGGTAGCTCGCTTAGCCTGACAACCTGTGGGCTTTATATATTTACTCGTACATACCGCACTGTGCAAGCATTCACGTATAGTATATGACTACACGTGATCTTTCACCCCCTTATCGACTAATTGGATAGCGTATGTTGTTTCAAGCCAGCTGTTATACAATATTTCATCTCACCATACATATATCTACATATAAAAATAAAAAAAGTCATATTAACGAATTGTAAAATTCAGTCGTACATGAATCACCATGTTATTAATTAATTAGTTACGTTAAAATCGCCGTTCGCTTTGGAATAAAATCGATAGACACGGAGTCAGTTAGATTTAATGAAAAACCGAGATTATTATTTGAAATTGAAAGCTTGCTGTATATACTGTCTATAGAATTTTTAGAATCTAAATATTGAAGAAAATTATAATATTACTGTATAAAAAGTGTTATATACTCTTCCCGTGATAAATTATAAATATCGCGTTCGATAAATTTGCGAAATGAGGTCGGAGAGCGACTTGGAGCGAACCAAATTCGAATTCGATTGATGTCTGAAATATCGGGAAATATCGCGGAGACCGTGGGCGTTCTATATGCGCGACCCTTTGTTCTTACACAATGTATTACTTTACCTTCGTATATATATATGCGCAACGGCAGATACACACTCTCGCGTTGATAGAAGACGCGGCAATGAAGGACGAAAGAGGAGATGACGTGCCTGATAATGAGAGCAATGAATGGGAAGTGGGGCGAGAGCGTATATGTATGTGTTGCTCTTCCCAAAGCAGAGATGTGTTATTGTGTCCGCCGTGTTTTACAGTAGCTTATAGATATTTACCTATGTAGCATTCTACGTATAGGTGGATGGCGTGGGTGTTTCGACGGCCCCCGGCTCGTCTAGTTATTGCCCGTCGTACTTTACGGTACGATCTCGTGTCCGGGAAAAAGTT